AAGTGATCAAAGAGAGCCAGCCATGCTGAGGGGAAAGGGAGAGGTTTCCAAGCTGAGCCATGCTGGCTCAGGAATTCTGGGAGTTGAAGTCCACAAGTCATAAAAGAGCCAAGGTTGCCTACCCCTGGGCTAAACAATCACTTGTCTGAGATGGTATATAGGTCTCCTGCTTGAGCAGGGGGCTGAACTAGAAGAACTCCAAGGTCCCTTCCAATTCTGTTCTGTTCTGTTCTGTTCTATTCCATTCTATTCCACAAAGCTGGCAAGAAAAATTCATAAATGCAGTTACCAACATTAAGCTTGATTCAAGGGCATCTGTACCCTTGTTACAGCAGATGGCAGCCTCTAGACAACTTTGGCTGATAGTAAAAATATTTAAGCAATGTCTGCTTAGTACTTGAGATATCACCAAAAATGTCCTACGATTGTAGACAGACTGGAAAATAGAATAACAATTATAGAAATAGTTAGAAGTAAACCCCTTCTGTATTAGTACAAAGAAAACTTCAGGATTTTTTACAATAGCAATCTTTAGTGCTTAGTAAACAGCATGTTGTCTGGATTCATATATTTAAAAACAGTAAAAATTAATTTCTATAATTCCATAATCAATAAATTAGTTAATCATATATTTCTTTGATCTTCTCTTCTTCCAGTAGTATTTTCCTTTGTCAAAATTAAGCGAATATAATTCTTAATACTTTCGAAACATACAAGGTTGGATATAAACATTTTTCTTGTGTTTGTACAAATAACAATAACAGCCACTTATAACATCTTTTCTGATCGGCTTATGTTTCAATTGTATTTATAAAAGTCCTTATTAAGTCACCATGTGTCCTGTTTTCAAGATTCTTATTTAAGCTTAATTTCCCCTCAGTATTCAGACCATTCTTATCAGTCATAATTTTCTCAAAATTAATTATCTTTAAAAATGCAAACTTTTCATTCACATACACTATCCCAGTATTTTTACATCTAATATATTATAAAAAATACTATACTACTTATATATCTTATCCCACTTACTGTAGGGCCCCTTTATATTCAAAATGTATCTATTCTTTTAACCATATTCAAACAAGTGTTTAATCATATAGTACTCCATCTGGTAAAACGAATTGAGTCTCTTGAATCTAACTCTAGCCTTCTTCTTTTGCCATGTAGCATTCTGTGTCAGTATGTTCTGCTTGCCAGGGGATTCTTCCTGTATTTTTGTGAATATTGTTAGGAATAAGAAAGACAAGTTAAGTAGAATGTACATTTTTTGTTTACTAAGCACTAAAGATTGCTATTGTAAAAAATCAATAAAATATATTTTTTAAAAAAGAAAACTTCATGTTTTCTTCACTTTCATTATAAATAAAAATCCCTTGCTTACCCATGTGGATTTTGTACAGGAAAAACACTATTCTACTACCAGAAACAAACAGAAGTTCTATATCTCTGAGACAAATCTCATTAATGCATCAGTTGATTACCTTTGCTTGAGGAGCCGTCCTAGGAAAATTTTCTTGAGAACCTTTAAATTGTCTAAAAGTTTTTGCTTTTCAATAGAAACTTTCAAATATGCAGCAGAATTATCAGTTAGTTATAACAAGATAAAAAGTCACACTAAATCATGGGTTGAACAAACTTGGAGATGACAGTTTAGGATAATGGCATCTCTCAAGTCATTAGTTGAAACAAACTCTGATACCAGAATCCTTTTTTTCCTCAATAGCTATTTTTTCATTCATAATTGCTATTTCTATTCCTCCATACCAGATTTAAATTGAATAAAGGGGTAAAATTAATTAACAAAATGTTTTGCATTTCTTGAGAATCTATTTTTCCTATTTTATTAACTTCCTACTTAGAACAGTATTCTCTGCAGATAATATGCTTCGTTCTGGTTCAGATGCCACAATCCATATGTTTGCTAGCATTGTACTGTATCAAGCTAATAGTTTGTTCTCCCTAAAAAGAAAAAGAATAATTGTCTCATCTCTGTGGAATGATGATGTCATTGTGTTGTGCTATAGAGCAGGCAAAGCTATCTAAAAAATTTTAGTAGTTCCCTGGTTATTAGAATGAACTAATGAAACAATAAATAACCATGTTTTGTTATTCCAACACAGTTTTAGGATGTTATTCCATTTTCAGAAGAGGTAGAGAATAATATTACAGAAGATTATTTAGATTAAATTCAATGGTGACAGAATGAATTCCCAATTGGTAAGAATTACTCCAAAAATCTATATTGCCAAAGGCTTTCTATTCTGTTTTTACATAAAAACTTTAAAAAACCACCTTCATTTTAGTGATATAATAATAGGCATTTTGAATACCTTTATTCATTCTGATTACCTCAATTTACACTATCAAATGAATCTAGTAATTGATAATTCTATTGGTCTTGACAAAATTGACATTTTGGCCTTTGAGGCTATGAGCTTCATAACATTTCAAATCAGTCTGTTTCCTTTGGAACCTTTAGGAAGAAAGAACAGTCTTTGGCTCTGCTAGTGTTTGAGAATCTGCCGTAATACTCAGAGAATGAAAAATGATATCTTCTAACTAAGCTACCTTTCTTTAAGCTAGGCCCACTGCCATTTTAGGATTCAGGATGGGTGCTACTTCTGTCTCTGAAAGCATGTGGATATGCAAGAAGACCCATTATCAATGAAATGACTAAGGCAGAAGGGATGAGCATGTTGTATCTTCTTTGCATTCAAATACCAACACTGCCCTAACTGGTCATTTTGTCCCTTACTGGCTAGAAACAAGCATCACAATTAAATTTGAAAATTTGTGACTTAGTCCTACCATTGCAGTGCTTAAAGCTTCTGTGTCTTCATGTGACTTCTTTTCTGCTTTTGGTGTAAGCTTCCAGCAATTGCCCCCCTATGAACCAAATACGGAATGTATGTAGATGTGTATATGTGTGTGTATTCATTCCATTCCATTCTTCTCTGCAGCATCAAACACCAAGTGTTTGCTATATGTCTATAATAATGCAGAGTCTAGAAATAAGACTTGAGTCTTGTATTTGCTTAACAATTTCACTGACAATATAGTGCAGGCCTGTGGGCTGGACGTGTCCACCCCAGCTCTGGCAAGGGGAAAAAAAGTCACACTATTTCGCAACACATCACGTGACGCAGCGAGTTTGACACCTGTGATATAGTGGAAGCCATGTGGGACATCCCTGTTCTTTCCCATAGTGTAACTGGCCAGTTGATGCCAAGGGTGGAACAGTTCTTTCCTATCAGCAAAGAACATTCCAAGCATCCTAGGTATCAACCAGGCACCTTCTTAAAATATAAGATGTTCCGAGTAGCGCAGTATTTTTGTAACATTGCTGAAGTTATTGTAGGAAGCTGCAGTTTTGGACATAGTTCCCAGTGCCCCAATGACATGGTATTACTGTTACATGTTTCATCCATAATCGCGCAGTTTCGATGGCCAGGTCGCGATATTTCGTAATTTTTTCCAGTTCTGTTTCTTTGACTCTGACAATTCCTGGTACAACGATATCAATCAGCTGTACGCTTCGGTTCTCTACAACTGTGATATCTGGCGTGTTGTGTTCCAAATGGCGATCTAAGTGTATTTGAAAGTCCCACAAGATCTTCGCCCTCTCATTCTCGACAACTTTTTCTACCCTATGTTCCTATGACTTTTCAAACACAGGCAAGTCGTATTTTTTACACAATGCCCAGTGGATTAATTTAGCAACTCGGTCATGTCTAGCTTTGTAGTCAGTTTGCGCGATTTTGCTGCGCTCACATATTAGATGTGAAACAGTTTCAACTTTGTCATTGCAAAGTCGGCAATTTGGATTGTCAGTGGATTTTTGTATTTTTGCTTTCATGGCATTAGTTGTAGTGCTTGTTCTTGAGCAGCCAGTATTAAGTCTTCCATTTCTTTCTTGATGGTTCCGATCTTAAGCCATGCCCATGTCAAGTTGTTATCACATTTTCCTTCAATGTTTTTCAAATACTGTCCATGCAAAGCTTTGGTTTTCCATCTATTTAATCTACTGTATCATTCAGTTGTTTTTCTTTATATTCTGCTTTTGTTTCTGTTATTTTTATAACGCTCTCTGTTTTCACAGCCTGCAGCAGTTTTTCTGTACTTGGCTGTGAAAACAGAGAGCATTATAAAAATGTCACTCATTGCTAGCTTAGGTCCCATAAATAAATGAAATTTTGGATATCTGTGACAACTTGCATCAGTTTATACTTGTTTACACTGAACTGTACCTGATACCTAGAATAATTATTCTTTCTCCTTCTTCTTCTTCTTCTTCTTCTTCTTTCTTCTTCTTCTTCTTCTTCTTCTTCTTCTTCTTCTTCTTCTTCTTCTTCTTCTTCTTCTTCTTCTTCTTCTTCTTCTTCTTCTTCTTCTTCTTCTTCTTCTTCTTCTTCTTCTTCTTCTTCTTCAACAGCTTTCCTACAACAAAAAAAATGTCTTAGAGAAAATGCTAGAGTGATGCTTTCTCACACACAAAAGACAAGCTAAACATAAGTGCAAGATGTCAAACCTGAGCTTTCATGTAGCATGGTGCATTACTTAATCTGGCTGGTTTCATAATAGACTTTGCCTATCAAAATTACTTCATACCTAGCAAGTGCAAAAAATAAGTAACTGCAAAAAACTCCAGATACGAGAGTCCTAGTGGTGCAGCAGTTAGAATGCAGTACTGCAGGCTGACTCTGCCCATAGTCTGGAGTTCGATCCTGACTAGCTCAAGATTGATTCGGTCTTCCATCTTTCTGAGATCGGTAAAATGTGGATCCAGATTGTTGGGGACAATATACTGACATTGTAAATCACTTAGAGAGTGCTGCAAAACACAATGAAGTGGTATAGACATTTAAGTGCTATTTCTATTTCTATCCAGAACTAATAGGTAAATAAGCATTCAAGGTTGTTATTTTTTAAAAAAACACTATGAAAAAGAAAACAAACATCACATTTATTTATACAAACCAGTTTTTTTTTGTGTCTTCCAGATCCTTTCAAACAGCCTTCCTTTGAAGATCAAGCATTTTTAGAAGCTGTCCAGTTTTTCCGTCAGGAGAAAGGCCATTACGGGATGTCAGAAATGATTATAGGAAATGAAAATCAGGTACTTGCATAAAGAGTTTTATGAAAAGTCTTCCATTCTTTTTGAGTATGGAAATACTTTTATGAAAACCATGTTCATCTCAACCCTTCTCGGGACAAACCAATTTCTGTGCTTTTGAGGCTAAAAAGAAAATTATTACATTTCATCTCTTTCCAGATTCTTAGCAACCTTGTGATGGAGGAACTCCTATCTAGCCTTCAGAGCATGGTGCTCCCTAAAATGAAAGGGAAGAGAAATGACCGAAAGCGGGCATGGTTTGGCGTAAGTACTACATTATATTTTCTGATCAGGAAGTTCTTTTTTTAAAAAAATGAAAAAACCCCATAAGTTAATAACAACCACTTCTGTTTAGGAAAGCCACCTGGATGTGTGTATGAAGTCAACAAGTCTTGAGCTGAAACAAAAGGAGACTATTGTCCACATGTTTCCGAAAAGTAGAATATTTCAGAGATTGCTGTTACCTTTGTTTTTTTTTAAAAAATGCTAAATTTCAAATTTAAGCAATTTATTTATAAATGTAATTAGCTAAAAGCATTGAAACCATCATTCCTCTAAGATGTTTCTTGCTATCAAATGGCAAAATTCAGACTTCTTTTCACAAAATATTTCTGAACCATTTGTTCTTTCTTTAATCTGGAACTTAGTATCTTTCAAGAGATGTTGCAGCTGGAAGTACTGTAGCCACCAAGAGACAAAGATTACCGGTAGTCCTCAACTTACAGCAGTTCATTTAGTGACTTTCGAAGTTACAGCAGCCCTGAAAAAACTGCCTTACGAGTGTTTTTCGAACTCACAACCATTGCAGCCTCTCCATGGTCATGTGATCAAAATTAAGGTGCTTGGCAACTGACTCCTATTTATGATGGTTACAGTGTCCTGAGGTCATCGTGTTGATTTCCTTTTGCGACCTTCTAATAAGCAAATGGGGAGGTCAGATTCACTTAACAACTGTGTTACTAACTGAACAACTGCAGTGATCCACCTAACAACTGTGGCAAGAAAGGTCATAAAATGGGGCAAAGTTCACTTAACCAGTATCTCGCTTAGCAACGGAAATGTGGGGTTCAGTTATGATCGTAAGTTGAAAACTACCTGCATGAACAACATTTGTGACTCTACTTAGGTAAAAATTACATTTTAATTACAAGAGCATTCATTAACTTCACGGTTAACTCATGAAGCTGATTTGGAGCTGGTTGGCATGGCTGGCAAATAATTTCATTCATGCTTTTTGTCATAGATTCTAGAAGAAACATACCATTTGGTACATGATCAGGTGTCAGATGGTTTACATGCTCTGAAAGAAGAATGCAAAGAGGTCACCCTAGGACTAGAGGGAACTATCCGTTCAAATACAGACCAGATTGTGACTTCGAAAGAATTTCTGGCTGCAAAAATAAAAGGTAAGTTGAACGTCATACAGTCAGTGTGTTTGTATTTTTCCTTTTAAATCTAATAATCACAGTATCAGTTAACACTCCTAATTTGCATATAGCTAAAAGATTTTTTTTTATGTTTGCCCCTTTTGAGGATGTTTACATTTATATAGCATGGGCTTAAGCTTATTTCATAATATGTTCACATTGCATGTTGTTTCTTTTGGGATGGAAAGAACAATTGGAAATTCCTGTTTAAGTGGATGCTACAATTTTATGATTAATATTGTAGATGATGTAATTCTGTTTCATTAAAAAGCAATAAAAACTATAAACAATACAGTACCAATGAAGATGATCGATAGCACTTCCAGCTTCGATATGCAGTTCTTGCCACATTTATCAGGACTAGCCTGCAAATTATTCTGTATCAGGAATCTGTTGAAGTGACCACTGCATTCAGCTTTCTAGAGAAAATACCTTGTATTTTCTTAATTCTGAAATGTAGATGCATAGTAGGGCAGCATCATTGCATTAACCATATTTAAGATGGTGGTTTTATACTGTACTTGTATTCTCTAACAGTGAAATAGCCCCATTATTATGTTTCTCAATTAAATGGTGTGCTATTCAAGTATGTAAAACGCACCATCTTATAAAGTTTGCTTTTCTACAATATGATGTCTATATGCATACATAAGTAGCCCCAGTCTTGCAATCCAACTGATGATGGGTGTTGGTTGTGTTCTTTTTGACAATAAAAATTGTGTGTGACCTCATTCTTACAGTTCCCTTACCTATTTCCTTTTTGGGCAATATGAAAACTATTGAACTATCTTTGATAGTTGAGGACTACCTGTAATCTTTGTCCTTTGCTTTCATAACAGGTTTGATATGTGTGATTTTGGGGATTAATTCAGGCTTTTAAACCTTGCAAAAGCTTAATGGAAATTGAATTGACCCAACAGCAGATAATAGCAGCAATCTAAAAATCAATTTTCCAAGTTCTATGCCCAGTGAAAAGAAGTTAATGAGTAGTATTTATTTGATTTAATCACATATTTGCAAACATATTTCCAAAAGTTTACATATTACTGTACTGTATTACTCTAATATTGAAAACCAGCAGTGAAGTCAGAAATGGTGATCACATGACCACGGGATACTGTGACCATTATAAATGTGTGCTGGTTGGAAAGCACCCAAATGACTGCAGGGATGCTAAAAGTTTGGAGACTAGTTTTAAATCTACTTTTTCAGTGCTGCTATAAATTCAAATGTTTGCCAAATGAGCAATCAGTAAGGGAGAACTACATGTAGTAAATTATATAAAATGGCAATATTTCTTTAAAGTCTTCTATTTGTTTTTAGAGACTCCTTCTTAGAGTTCAACTCAGGTTTATCTTAAATCTTCAGGGAGCATAGCAGAACCTATCCAGATCTGTTGCAGTGAAAGTATTCAGCCCTTTTTAGCTTCTGTACTAGAGGAACTCATGGGGCCAGTGAGCTCTGGATTCACTGAGGTCTGTCTGCTGTTTGAAAAGGAAGTCAATGCAATCAGTCAAACCTTTCAAGCAACAAATGATGTTGCAACACTAAATGAGGTAAGGAAGCCGGGATGCTAAATTGTTTGCTTTCTGTATGGATGGGAGTCACTTGGGGTCATCAGCCTTCAGTTTCTTCTCTGAGGCATTATAGATTTATTTTGGTCAAAGGTCAAAGTCTGACTGAGATCCCATACTCTTGCCTTGGGCAAATAACTATCTCTTAGTTTCCATCTGTACATTAAAAATAAGAAGAATTTATCTCACCCGAAATGTATAGAGCAGGATTATAAAAGGTGGTAAACTACATTCCATAATCTGGATTTATCATATTTTTGTTTATTGTTAGACATTCAAATTTCCCTGAAAATCTCAAAAACAACATGTTTGAAAGGGGAAAAAAAATATTGTACAAAACAGCCTACAAAAAATCGACCTTAGCAACCATATAACATGAGAATCCAATTCAGGAATTGCCTTCTTTCTTTTCCTTTTCCTTCCATGATAGGTTAATCATTCCTCTTTACTGAGGAATGCCAGCAGAACTCCAGAAATCTTTCTCATTTACCATATGACACCAAGGGCTGCTACAGTTGTATACCTACCAGGTTACAAAACCTTCTGATTTTTGAATGGATAGTATATGTACTATTATTGGAAAATTACTTCCTTCCCAATCTGTGTTTCTGACAGAATGTGAATCACCTGATGAACCTGCCACACAGCTCTGTCAAAATGGAGCCTTGCTATTTAAAAGTCAATTTTCTTCAAGAGCAACTCCAGGATCTCAAGACCCGCTTCAAATTCCACAACATTGACTTGGTTATCCAGAGGACACATAATGTAATGCAGGAGGTATGATAGGATTCGTGCATACTTTGATCATCAGCAATATCCAGGCTGATCTGAGGAGTTTAATATAGGTTTGGATTACTTACCAACCAATACTTGGCCATCCATTTCTTAATTTCTAAGGATTTGGATTCCCAAATGCAAGCTAGAATTCCATTTAGAGATATAACCAAAAACCCTTAAATCAAATCTCTGAATCACATAGTCACGAATTACATAGTCACAAAGTCCCACCTGGCAAGATTCTGATGATATAAAGCATACATGGTTTGTGGATTATGCTAAGCCACAGTTTCTTGAACATGGTTTAAAAGCTCTATTACCTCGGTTCATATAATGTATTACCATAAAAAACCTCTGCATTATGACTTCATGTACAAACCAATTCATGCAATAATTCATAAAGACAAAGATATTTGGAAGAAGAAGAAAAAACATTGCCAACATGCCTTGTAAATAAATATTTCTGTCTGCAAATAAAGTAAAGTAGATGTTGACAAAGAAACAGATCTGAGAGGCAGATGGGCCTCTGCAAGGAAATAAATAAGGCAACTGTTTTTTATCTGTTTTTAGATTCTGGAAAATGTAGTATATACATTTGAGCAGCTATTGGGTTTAAATCACTCCAAAGATATAACCACAATGGCAACAGCCATTGAAAAAGTCAAACTTCGTGTTCTTAAGGTAAAATATTTATTTCTTTTACTTGTTCTCAAAGTAGGAATGTTGGGTTATAATGTTCATTATACAATCCAAATGCCAAAGAAGGTATTTTCTCTGTATTACTATTAATGAAAAGTACCGATAATTATTTGACTTGTCTAGATGCAAAATATCATATATTTTAATAGTATGTCTTTAATCTGTGTTATGTTAATAGAGATAATAGTGATCATGATAATATATTAAAAACACAGTAAACATGTGTTTGAGTAGTGCTGCTTTTGCGGGAAAATAAATTTAATGGTGCATCTAAAGAGGAAAGATGTTGAAAATTGAAATTTGGAAATAGAGAGAGATAAAAATTAAAACAGCTAATATTTTGAAATAATTAAGGACTTACTAAAGGAAAGGAAAATTGGGGTTTGTTCTTGGTAGGCAAAATATGCATTACATCCTATTTAAATGTATTTCTTTATGGAGCCTGAGTTGCATTAGCTGTATATCTGAAGTTGGCCTTCTGAATAATTAGAAGTCTGACATCTAATTCAATTCTGAATGAACATATAGTATCATATATATTTGTGCAACATGGGCCTAAGGTCACTTTTACCAAAAACATGAGAGAGAATTGACCATAAAGTGAATAGCAGATGTAGAAAGTGTATATAAGTATGCTTTTGAATTTACATCCTATGCTACATTATGGAAGTTCAGGTGACTATTTTTCCAATTTCCCTTCATATCTGTTGATAAGATTAAATCCTCTCCAGAGTGTCCTGGTAGAGATTGGGTCAAATTTTGGATATGGGTTTCAGAGCAAACCAAGTAGACATGCATATTCTAAATAGGAACCTACTTTTTAGAAAGCCACTGTATAAAATAAAAAGGTAAAGTCTTGTTGGAATCAAACTTGATTCTTGGAGGCCTGATGGACAGATCCATGTAATGTTCTTGGCAATAATACAAAAATAGTTTTCCATTGCTTTTTTGGTATTTTTTAAAACTTCCCAATTTATAATTCTGATATTTCCTAATGCAGTGGCTCCCAACCTTTTCTATACCCAACATCCCTAGAACGCTTCTGATATATTCTTGCCCCCTTACAAAAGTTTGAAATAATGGCAACGAATTATGCATATACACTATAATTATGAAAACCCAAGTTTTTGCACCCCCTGGAATATCGTCTCACACCCCTAGGGGGTGCAAGCACTCCCGGTTGGAAACCCCTGTCCTAATGGTTTCCCACCGAAGTATTTAGCCATTTCCACCCTTGTTCAGTTTTTCAAGATCGGTCAAACTTGAACCAGTGTGGAGATAAAGAGGATGGATTTGAAGAAGAAATGGGGGAAATGTTACAAAAGAGAGAAAGTGGGAAAACAAAGATTAAGTCTGGGATTTGTAGAAACCTTTCAGAGACTTCCCTAAATTATACAGTTATAAAAGAAACAATAGAGGGACAAAATCAGATTTGCAGTTTTATTTTACTATAGCCAATCTAAGTAAAAGTAACTGTGAATCTTCCATTGAGTCTGGTCTCCCTTGTAGGGCTGACAGTTCCCCAACCTGATATATTTAGATGTGCTGGGGATTCTGGGAACTGTAACCCAGACACCCATAGAGGCATGTGTGTATTTCATCGTTGATACAACGCCATATACCTTGTTGGATCTAATATTGAAAATAAATGAATGAATAAATGAACAAATAAACACACTAAGAATAAATAAGTTTATTCCAAGTTTGCTACAGTGAAGGGGCTTCCTATCTTAAGAACTTTATACCCTTTTCCTTTCTTTTTCTTTCTTTACTTCTTATTTTCCTTTATGCTTCTTATTTTCAAATTACAGTACTGTTTTTACTCTGTTGAAAACTTCCTTAATAATATATATATATATATATATATATAAGATAACTTCAAGTTTGCCTCTGATCCTACAGATAAATATAAAAGAATAGAGATAGTTATTGGTTTTATAATTTTAGTGGATGTATGTTAGTCGGGGGAGGAAGATGAGAAGTAGGTATTTGGCTTTCTAAAATCTCATACCTGATTCTTCTTTTTACATAAAATTGATAGCAATATGATTATGACAGCAGTACTATCCGGAAGAGGATATTTCAGGAAATCTTGGTCCAGATCACCCTGCCCACACTGCAGCGGACATTGGCTTCAACTTGTAAACCAGTAGGTTAATATACTGACATATATGACTCAAAAGGAGAATAAGATTCACAAATCAAAACTAAAATGCTAATAATGTCAGCAGACAATGGTTCTTTAGTTTTAAAGTCTGTGGAAATGGAATGATAGAGACAAAGCAGCAACAATGGGTTGGATTAGGTCTTAGTTATTCTTAGGGCCAATCCATTGAAATCTGTAGGATTTATGGTTAACTTTAATCCTATTGATTTTCACTGATCTATATTACATATGACAAGTTTTTCTTAAACCTATCTCTCTTCCTAAACTCCAAGGTTGTTGAAAATAGTTAGTTTTTTCTTTCTTTGAAAGCCAAAGGAATACAATGGGTGCAGGATATTTCCTTATGTTATTTCCTTATGTTAGAACAAATCATAAAATATAAGGATTGAAGAGGACTTTAGAGAGGATCTGTATTCTTCTGAAATATTAAAAGATAATTGAAAGTTATTTTGGGCAAAATGATAAGATGTTGCGAAGGACCCCTTGCATATCACACCTACAAAAATGAATTAGAAGAACTTATATAATCCTGTGTATAATGCATGTGTCACGTTTATTTGAAAAGCTAATTTATGCAGTTCTTCTTATGAATATTCTGTTAAGAAACAGATATACGTAGGAGTGAGATATTTTAAAACAAATGGAAAGACATAAACATGTACATAGTATTTGTGGCATCTTCTTTCTCAGAGCTTGAGAAAGAAAAAGGAGAGCAATTTGCAAAAGGCTGCATTTTCTTTTTTTATCAATTTAGATAATTTTTTATCAATTTAGAAAATTGATAGCTACATTCCTGGTGCATCAAAGAGTGATTAGCAAAAGAATTAAGAATTCTAATAAAGGAAGAATACGCAGGTACTTTGTACTCATAATATTTTTGCAAACCACATCCTATTTCCAGTGTCTGAGGAGCCCACTGTGCTTACTTGTGTCTATTCCCAATGAAATTCATCTTGTTGCAGAGATAAAGACACCTTCACTGTCAGATATTCTAATAAACCTCCCTTGTATCAGACTTTATTGTCTTTTCCGCAAATGTATTATTTTCTATTTAGCCATTATTACTTTAAATCATATCTTGTTCTGTAGATGCTTCAGGAGTATGAACAGTACATCTTTGCTGAATATAACAGTGTGATTCAAGTTGAAAATGTCTATGAAGAGATTCTGTTTCAGACATTGCTTGATGAATCCCTAAAAGGTAACTTTGCTTCTTGTGAGATACATATATATCTGTCTTGGCAAGTACAAAAATGGGCTGATTGATTCAAGGAGATGGCAGTTTTACCTTGATCTTTTTCATTCAGCGACCTTTGGATTCTTCCAATTAGCCAATAGGTTTAAAACAGGGTTGAAAAATCAAAATATATTATCTATACCTGGCTCACTGGGCATTGTCAGCGGTGAAGACTAATACATCTGGGAGTACAGGATTGAGGAAGTGCTTTATTGATTAAAGAAGAAAAACTTTATGGATGATTTGAGAAGAGACGCTTTCCTCCCTCTAGTTCTTCCAAGATAGTATTGCCTTGTTCTCAGTATGTTTCTGTGCTCTTATTCTATGGCTGAATATCTTTTCTCTGTTTGTTTGTGTCCATCTCCTGCCTAGTCATAAAAGAAGCAGTCCATCTGAAGAAACATAACCTTTATGAGGAAATAAACCTGACTTCCGAAAGCGTATCCAGTTTGAGTGATCTAAAAACTCCTGTAGAATCAGCACAGGCTAGCCGAGCTAGAGTGCCAGACCCCAATTTGATGGATGAATCAGATGCTGGCCTTGGAAGTAATGAGGTTTTCTTAACAGAAAAACTCCATCAAGAAGAGGAATGTGATGAGACAAAAGAAGAGGGGACAATAATTTCAGATCTCGGTGGCAGTGAATCTTGTCCAAAAATACTTACTATTGTACAGGGAGCCCTTCCAATCACAAATGTCAGTGAAATCACAATAAAACAAAACAAAGGAACAGCAGAAGCGGAAGAGCATCCAGTTCACAATGGTGTGAATGAAATTAGAAATTTGTTGACCTTGACTGTTGAACTGAAAGAATATGAACAGTCTGTGAACAAAGAACAAGATTTACAGGAGTGTGGAATGTCAAGTCCAAAGGAAGAAGCAGAAGAAAAGAGTAAAGAGGACTATCAGACAGGTGATCTGCAGAAGCCCTTTTTCCCCACTGTAAAAGCAGATGATACAAATATTGTAAGTAGATCTGGGGAAACAAGCACCATAATTCATCAGGATGCTTCTGAGAAGTCTGAAGAACAGAGTCCCAGTGATATCTCGGGGGAAGAGTTGAAAAGAGAGCCAAACACAGTGCATTCAAATAAAAAGAATGATGGTATCTATGACCAGTCTCAAACAGAGTTATCTCCTGAAAACAGACAATCTGACCAGAATAAAATAGGCCCTTCACTTGACAACGTTGTGTCTGAAGAACAGAAATCACAAACAGAGCAGGCTGAAGGTGAAAAACCTGACCAGATAAGAGAAGGATATTCTTCTCTCCATTCATTTCCAAAGGAAGATGATTCCCAAATGGGACAATGTATTAAAGCAGATTCCCAGGAAGCAGAGTTGTCCCTTCTGCAATCTGTCCTGAGGGAAGCAGAGATATCATCCTTGAGCTGTTCTGTTGAAACTCAAGAAAGCATGTTGAATACAGAATCCGTAAGCACCGAATCACCCTCTCTGCTAGTTTCCTTAGAAGTAGTAGAAACTGAGGTTAGCAATGCGGTGAGCATGGACTCCGAAAGTGTCACTTTTGATCAAGGAGGTGATTTTGAACAAGCAGGTGAGTCCTGGGTGGACACGGATGTGGCAGATATTTAAAGTGATGAAAGCTGAGAAAATACTGAGGGCGACTGTTCTGATTCACCACTTACAAAATAGAATTTTCTAAATGTCTGAGCCCAAGTTATGATTACTCTCCTTAAAACTAGAATGGAGAGATTTGTTCAAATTCACACCCTACTTGAGAGCCATCTTTTAATCTGAACCTGTGGCTTTCTGAAAATCTGTATTGTTTGAATAATACTCTTCTGCCAGTTGCTGCTTCTTGTCACTTACTCATTTAGAAGTGAATCATGAAAGAATCATCACTCAAGTGGTGAAGAATTTTGCAAACTATTATTTGTAACTTGACAGAATGTTTAGCCTTTCCTACTTTTTGAAAACACAGTTCAGTGGAAATATTGATTGCCCCTGTTGACAATGAACCGTCTATTTGTGGATGAGATTTCAGTGACTCTCAGTAGAATTTGGAAGGAAGTGCTAAAATCAGGTGTTGCAAGAAAGAAAAAAACTTTGTGTGATATATAGTAAAGAAAAAAGGAAAGCAAATCATCAACAGAAGTAATAGTAAAAATTTGTACATAGTGTTTTAAATTTTCATAGGTATATTGTTGTTTTTGTACTTAAAAGCTTTGGCAGATACTTTGAGAATGGAGAGAGCTAATTCCTCTTCTTTATCATTGTTACGGTTGCTATATTTAAAATTTACCAGAATAATTGGAACCAATTTTGCTATCCTTTTTTTCTATACCCTTCTATGGAGCACTTTATACTTGCTTAAAGGGAACCACAAAAATTTATAGCAACAAACAAAAGGGCTTCAAACATTCAGTGATTCTTCCAGAGTAGGACAGAGCATTTATAACTCCGCTCCTCTGACTCTCAACTTCAAAAGAGCCTTCTAAGGGCTAAGATTAGCTTCTAAGGCTAACTTTTATTTGCCTGATTAGAATGATTTTTTCCCCCTAATCTCCTGTCCTAGAACAGGAGAAAGGGAAATCCATTGCAGTAAGTCTGGTTGAACTGCTAGCAGATGGCCACAAAGTATTTTAAAACTGATAGCAAGGGCAGATAAGTTAATTTGTTTACTATGGTAAAAGCAAGTGCTGCAAATGTAGTCAATCTGAATAACTAATCATGTATTGTAAAACAATTTTAAAAGTTTGTAATTAGATGCATTAACAGATTCCAGAGCAGCTACAGATATTATTAGCCACAAAACAATAAATTACCACTGGCACAATTTGGCACTCATTTTGGGCAGGAAGAGAACTCTTTCGCTCAGGGGTCTCAAACTGCCGGCCCACGGGTCGGACGCATCACCAGGAAACCATGCCCATCCCATTGCCGGCAATGGGGAAAAAAAAGCTCCAATATGTCGCGCGACGTTACTTGATGTCACGAGTTTGATATGTCTGCTCTAGCTAGAGCAGAGAATGGCGGCTATACTTTTGGCTGCTTGAAAATTTTAATTTACTAACTCATTGCTCATCTTCCATCATCCTGTTTTTTAACTGCTATTCACAACCCCCAGAACTAAAATATTTTTAGATTATAATTCTTTGAACTCTGAACTGTATAAATACCCTTTAAATGCATAGGCTGTCAAATTATTTTGATGATAAGCCATCATTCTACTATTTCATTTCAGTGCATGAAATAAAAAAAGAAGACATTAAATAAATTTGCATTGCCTCATAATTACAGATCTCTTTTTTAACATGTTGGAACAGTTGATAGCATGCTTTGACAATTATGAGTTTAGCATTCTATAGCCCATACTTAGGATTTGATCTGTACAACAATAGAATTTCACTGGGGGGGGGGCTAAATGATGGCAGATTAGCAAAATAATAGAAACAATTAGTCACCAATTAGTTCTACACTTGCCAGCACTTCTCATTCCCAACTGATTTGTCATGATTTGACAAAGAGGCAAAGAAGGCAGATTTAACCCTAAAGTCTCTAGTTGCTAATATTTTTTTTAAAAAATATATTTTATTGGTTTTTTTAATTTTAACAAAAAGTACTAAAGACACACCGTGGTGTTTGGGTAAACAAACATTCCAAAATAAAAACATACATAAACAGCTCAACTTAGTACATTCACTGTCATCTCTCTATTTCCCTCAAATAACATAATAGATTTAATATATTCCATTTCTAGCTTAAATTTCTATTACTACTAAACCTGTTTTAAAACTTTATCAATTTATAATTACCATAATCAAATATTGTTTTACATCAACAGATTATCACTTCAAATATCTCTTCCAAATATATTCAAGCTCTTAATCTTTCTCATCCCTCTTTTTATCACCAATCTCATTTATTTCCTTCCAATAATAACTAACTTAGTTAAAAAAAAAAAACGTTAAACCTTAATTCATTTCAATTCATTACACAAACTTCAAATTCCATCCAATTAATTATCATACCTTATCAAATCATATTATTATACACAAAAATCTCCTAATTAATTAAGCACTTCGAAGTTCCAGTCTAAAAACTCAACGTTTTTTCAATTTCAGTACATAATTTCCCTCAAAATCAATCTATTATTCCAAAGAATACATTCTTAGTCTCTTTAAACATATATAATATATGTATAATTATATATTTTTTTCCTTAATACAATCCATAAAGCCAAGTTTCTTTTTTCACTCCAAATTTAACTTTCATATTTCTGTACCAGACAAATTTCCATAAAACAAAAAAAATCATCTAACTAAATTAAACACACATGTATATAATTGTAGTTTTCTTACTTCTAAGTCTAAATCATTATCCTTAAAACAATCCATAAAACCAGCATTGCCTTTTAATCCATTAAACAGTTTTAAATTTCTTTTTCAATCTAATTCTAGGTTTTTTTCTATGCCACACAGGCTTCCATAGCAACGCTTCCCTTTCAGCCAGTGGATCCATTTTTGTTGCTTATAGTAGTCTTTGAGAAAATATAAATCCCTTCCTCTGCAATAGGCATCTTTTTCTCTTCTTGCAGCGTCGTTGCTTTATGGTTTGAGATCTTAGTCTTTGCTTCTTCTGATTCTCTAAGTTGCAGAAGAGAGGGTTGTCAGGTGAAATAAGTTCCTCTTCTATCTCTATAGATTCCTCTTCTGGTATATTTTGATTTATACTATAGTCAGATGTAGCCTGGACATCAATTTGAACAAATGTAGTAGAATCTCTGGTCTTAATTCTAAAGTATAGTTTTTAATTGTAGCACATATTTCTGCAGTGGCCTCATAGATCTTTTCCAATATGAGTACATAGTTCAATTGTGGCTGAGGTTTCTCCATTTTAATACTAATGCTTAAAAGAAGGTCTCATTTTCTTTTTTGTGGAGGCTATATTTAATGCAAACAACATCCACCCCCACAGTTTCCACAGCTGCACAGCTTATCTTTTCCTCAAAAGTATTTTGAAGTTCAGTGTTCCATCTTTAAGAAAATAGCCTGAAATTGCAGTATCAAACTTTCACCACTAGATGTCCTCAATGAATTAAAGGTCTTTTCCAAAAATCAATTCCTTTTTTCTGTCTTTTGAAGTATAATATATAAGAAAAGAAATAATACAGTTCTTGCAAAGAGAGAAGAAAGAAAACCTTTTTCTGTCTTTTTTCCTTTTTTGTATCCAAAGAAAAAGATATATAGAGAGGTAAAATATAGTCTTTTTTTATATTTACAAAACGCCTTTCTTCCCAAAAAAATGTAGAAGCTGCCTTTCCAAGCCAGGGAAATAGTTCCAAAAGCTCTTACAGGTATCAAAAAAAAAAAACAAAAAAAAAAAACAGAAAAGAGAGAGTTACAAAGAAAGTTCTCACCTGGGCTCACCACAGGGGCACTCACAGCTTAGATGTTCTCTGACTTACGGTCTGAAGCGGCAGGGTGATCAGCCATTTTACTGGCTGATCTTCTTCTCCGTCAGCCCTTGGAGATCGTCCAGACAGCTGGAGGAGCCGCTGCTCCTCCTCAGCCAGACAGCAGCCTCCTCGACGGAAGTAACACCCTCCAGGGCAACTTTGGACCCGTATAAGGGCCCACCAACGGAGGGAAATCTAGCCGGTGAGGAGAGAAGTCTCCCCGCACGACTAGTGACGCCGGGAACCGGAACCGGAAGCCCTCTAGTTGCTAATCTTTGTCATAGTTATATTACAATGTGAATTAATTTGAGATTTTAAATATTAAATTCTGGCTATTATTGTTGCTTCAGAAATGTCTGTCAAGCACCAGGAACATTCATAGTAACAGTCACTGTTTCAAAATGGGGAAGAGGGACAACCAGGCAATCAAAACCCTGCCCTTTTCTACATGTGTGCAGTGCATGCAACACATATAAAAACAGGGCAAAGTTTTCATTGGCCGATTGCACTTGCTATTTTTAAGTAAGTGACTGTCCCTACAGACACCCTCTCAGGTACTGTATTGTCTTTTTAATTCTCACGGTATAAGTTAAAAAAATTAAAAGGTACAATGCAGCAAAATATTCTAGCTGAATTGTTATCTCTACACGAAACCAGTTATGTCCTATTTCTTTGCAATACAATATACATAGTGACAGTTATTCCAGTGTTTTAGTATTTGTCCTTGAATAGGAAACATATCCTCACATCTAGATATTCAGTCCTTTTTGATGTTTATTTTTAAAAAGGATCCTTAGACGGAATATATTCCTATGTTGGAAATAAACATTTAATCAAAGCATTAGGATAAGGACCCTAGTAAATGCAAGCATAATAATAAATCAGACATTATAGGAGTTATTGTCCAAAATGTTTGTACTGCCTAACAACATGTGAAGATTCTATATAGATATAGATTCGATATCTATATTAACCATGCATGCCAAAACACAGTTTGAAAGAAATACTTCAGAGCTTGTGTGAGTAGAAATACAGTTCTTCTCTGCTTCCACTTAAAACTTTCGTATCTTCTTTCAGATTTCTGAAAATCTGAAAAAGACACCACTGCTTTAAGAGTCATGTAAGTTGACTCATTAAAGCGGCTGCATCTTTTTTTAGGCTCACCTATGAGCTTGAAAAAAGGAATGGTGGCAGTAATTAATAGTGGAGGTACTACGAACATTCCTTCTGAATTGTTTTTAAAGTTTGCATAGCTCTAGCCTGTATATAATAAACCAGTACTTAGCATCCTGAGATTTCAGAAAAGGCTCTTCCGCTATTAATTGCTGCCACCTTTCCTTTTTCAAGGTCATTGGTGAGCCTAAAAAAAGATGCAACTGTTTTAATGAGTCAACTTACATGACTCTTAAAGCAATGGTGAATATCATTTCAGAAGTAGAGCGTCTTTATAATGTTATAAGAAACTTGGCATTGATACTGAAAATAATAATCTATGTTGTGTTCCTATTCTCACAATATGCTTTCATAATCTGTTTCTTAACTTCCATTCTGTAGTATTTGATGTGGAAGCAAGTTTTTGCTTATTGAATATAATGTTAGATCTTAAGAAAGATGTGTTGGATGCTAGGGCTGTG